AATCGTAGTGGTTGGCATCTCTGCTGTAACTACCGGCGACGACTTCTGCCTCTCTCTGTCTCAGGCGGAGCAGAAGTACCAGAAGGAGGAGAAGAGAACTCGCGCGGTGAAGTACACGATCGTCGAGAGCTACGGTGGCGCCCTCCTGCCGGTCAGCAAGGGTTGTCGCGTGCTGTGCGGAATCCCGTACTCGGACGAGCCGCGCATACGGTTGGAGACGGGCGACGAGGTCCGCGTGACGCGCTGGAAGAGGTACGTGTGTGTCAGGCTCCCTCTATACCTCCTCCTCCTCTTTCCCTCTCTACCTCCTCCTCCTCTCCTCTCCTCTCTATCTCCTCCTCCTTTCCTCTCCTCTCTACCTCCCTCTCCTCCTCTCTACCTCCTCCTCTCCTCTCTATCTCCTCCTCCTCCTTTCCTCTCCTCTCTACCTCCCCCTCCTCCTGCCCGTCCTCTTGCATCGCGCTCTGCCCCGCAGTCGTGTCCTCTCGCGCGACGCCGTCCCGTAGATGGCGCCACTCATCGCAGCGTTCTCTTGTCTCTCTCGCACGCGCGCAGGCACTGGATGTACGGCGAGCAGGTGACGCAGCCACCGATGACCGTCCCGCCCCGCGGCTGGTTCCCACGGCGATGCGCGGTGGAGCTCATCAACGGAGACTGCGACTTCCCGCCTCCCAGAGTCGCCAAGAAGAAGCAGAACTGAAGCGGACGTTACCGCGGCGACCGCGTTCGGCTAACCGGCGAGGGAGGCCGAGTTCTCTCACAGCTACGTGGCGCCATCTAGCAGCTATACGAGCAACCTACTTCACGGCGACTAGGTAATGGCGAGTGAAGGATAGACGGGCGCACACCTAGAGCCACTTCCAAAATCTGCTCGTTCCTGCTGAATGGTGGCAGTCTATGGATGGCAGCTGTACAGGTTTTTTTCTTGACATTCTTGTGAAACGATCGCTTGGAGTTTGCTGACCACAGCCTGCAATCGGTTCGTTAACCGCCGTTTTTAATTAGGTTGTATCGAGAGTATATTTCGTGTTGTTTTGTATATTTTGACGTCGTTTTATTCCAGAACTGTTAAATAATACTTGTTCTTAATTGTGCTGATAATCGTACTGTGAGATTGGAATTACGGGAAATATTTTTCGATTGATTGATGATGGCGTCATGATAAGGCCGATGAAAGTTGATTTCATGGTTCTCGTCAGGCATTGTTGAGATTTTGATGAGGGATTTAGATCAACATTCATCTTTCATCTACAAACCAATAGAACTTAGTGAGGGTATCAGGTCTTGTACATATGCAAAATAAGATTGAAAAATGTCATAACTTCTTTGTTGACAG